TGTTGATGTATGAATTCCTCAAGACATACATGCTTGAATTGTACTAGATAATGTAATGATTAAAAAGTTATCAGAAATTGATCCCTATTCATAAAATATCACTATTATATTACAAATGTATATCCCTCAAATAGATATCTCTCTCAATAATTTGTGATTAAGGTCAAATAGAAGATTGAGATTTAAAAGCCAGAGCCCTAAACTAGTAAACTAAGTCAGCTGTCATGAAAAGTATGATCCCCAAAACAAAACTTAGATGATGAAATGGAGGAAAGAATATATGAATCAAGAAGTATGCTACCTAATAGAATTGTTCATCAAACCTTAAGCAGTCACATACTAAGAATCAGTTTCTGATTAAATCTGAGAGTTATTAGCAGTAGTTTTATGGTGAGTTCTAGAAATTTGCAGTGTACTCAATACACTCACACATATACAAATTCATTGCAACAGAAGTATGAGATCTTCAAAATGATCATGGAGTACATATTATGAAAAAAAAACCATGATTTTCAAAATTTTGTTCCACCAAAATAAAATTATAATTCCACTTCCTTTAACCTTTTGGAAGTGCTCTCATATTACATGGCAATTTTTTGTTATCATTTTGAGAGTTAGCTATCCTTTCCCTGGGAATGCTTTTCAGCCTTTAAAACTGAACATCTACTACTAACAGGTGGTTTCTGAACATTCAGTTCATGCTAGGGGGATTCTGGGATAGTCAATGCTTGCCTTACATCATCTTGACTTTTGAGCAAATGGTTTATGGTTCAATTACCTGATAATTCTAGGTTCCAGTGTAGCACTACGATCAGATCAAGTAACTCCTAGTGTGTTTTTTTCAAGAGATTACCCTTGTCAAAGGATTCCCAGTATTTGTATCCTAACTATAAGGTCAGTGTTTATATTCAGGGTTTTTGTGAAAGTTCCTTATGAATGTAAGTCAAATAATCACAAATAGGATCACTGTGATTATAGGCAGTATCACTTTAATCTCGTCCCACTTCTTATCTAAATTCCTTTCTACTGAAAGACTATCACACACTGAAATTACCACAATAGAACAAATAGGAGTCTCTCCAGAAAGGATTTAAAAAAAACACTTTAAAACTACCAGGGAAATTATGTTGTCCCAAACAATCCAATCTATTTAAGCAAGAAGAACAGAAAAACAATCTTAAAGAGACCACTGCCTAAACGTTTTGAGCTCTTTACCATCCTAGAGAAATTTAGTGCAGAACATTGGACATTACTATTAAGTGGTTTTCCATAAATATAAAAATGAAGAGTTGGAACTAAAACTGTGATTTTGAGTGAAATTGTCTTATTTAACAGACTAAGAAGGAAAAGAGTCATTTATTACAGTTCTAACACAACTGTTGACTTCAATGGATGAGACTACTCTCCTAAAACTCAGGCTTAGAGGAATAAGATTCATAAGTGAAAAGAATTAATAGTGAAAAATTACAGATTCTTTCAGATGGAAATCCCTGAAACCTTCCCCTAACTGATGGGGATTAAAAGCAATGGAAGTTGTTTATTTGCCAACACATACAGGAAATCCAAGAGCTGATCATTTGCCTTCTCTATTGGACCTAAAGCTGAAATTGACATTTGAATTTTTTCTTTTTATCCCTGCCTTCAACTATCTTTTCCTGTCATTTTTAGGTGTTTATTTTTGTGTGTTGACATCATTCTCTCCTGTCACAAACAACCTTGTGTCATGTAACAAAAGTGAAGGCCATCAGTATTTCCAAATCAACAGTCTTAAAACAGATAACCCCAAAAGAGGGAAATATTTTCTTTCTTAACATTCACTTAATGATTCACAAAGAAAAAGGATTCAAATAGCTCTTCTTGGTATTCATGTGTACTCAGAGGCCAACCACTTTGCATAGAGATGTAGAGAATTATCATCAGCTAAATACACATATGTGCCTATGCTTCTGAAATCAATCTTCTTAATCAAGTTTCCTCTTGACACCTCCAAAACTTAAAAGCTTTTGACTTTATTTCCTCATTTCTTTCCCATCCTATGCTTTAATAAGAAGTGATAACTATGAAGACCTGATCACATCTTTAAAGGTCCTGTTATGGAGTTCTTTTTTTTAAATTACTATTTGAAAGAAAGATTGACAGAGACAGATACAGAGAGAGAGATTATCCACATACTGGCTCACTCCCTAAAAGGCAGCGCTAGGTTAGGCCTAAGCTAGAAGTTAGGAGTCACGACCTACATCAGGTTTCCCAGGTGTGTGGCAGAAACTCCCCTACCTGAACCATCATCTGTTGCTTCCAAGACATATTAGCAGAGAGCTGGATTGGAAGCGGAGTGGTCAGGACTCTAACCAGAACTTGGATATGGGATGCCAGCATCACAAGCTAAAACTACTGCTCCATAATGCCCCTCACTTTAAACAGGCACAGAGGAAATAAAGAGTTTGAGAACTACAAGTGCTATCACCTGGGCCCATGCATAGGATGGAAAACCTGAAGAACCAGAGTCTGAAGTATGCTTGGAATTAAATGCTGGAGCCTTTACAGAAGCAGAAGATCCACTGAAAAAGGAAATCTGCTGTGTGAACCCATCTTACCAAACTTTATTATTAATTGTTTGATTCTTGATTCTTCTACCCAGAATTTGACTTTCTAACATTAGTTTCTGCATCCCATCTTTTCCTACCCAATCTATAAAACTTTCCCTAGGCCTCTAATCAGAGACAGATATGCATCTTATCCTTGACTCTGTGCTGATGGGCCACGCTAACAAAGCTTTTCTTTTCTCAAAAGATCTGTTTCACAGATTGTGCATCGCGTAAATGGGATGGTCAACCTACCTGGTTCAGCAAATCTGACCAGAGGATGTGTGCAAACATGGAAAATTTCAGTTTTGCAAAACCTATTAGGAAGAGGGGCAGGCAGCTTTCTCTTGGTTAAAAGTGAATTGAACAGGGGCATGGAGATAAGAAGTTAATTGGACCAGTGCACATACATATACACACACAATACATGACTCCTTGGGCACAAATTTGCTATGTTACTTTTTTTGATTATTGATATAAGACAGTGTACTCTCACCATCATGAATTATGTTGGCAAGGAGTATGTTGGTAAAGGTTCTGCTTAGATTTTTCACTGAAACATGATTAAGTCCCCATAGAATTAGGTGGCTTATTTGAGGGAAGAAAGATGTCAGCGTGAGTCTCAAGGCATCTTTTTAAATGACAAGAATGTATACAGTATTAGTCTCAGCATGTGACCAAATTTTAAACCTAGTAAGATGTTCCCTGTAGATCCAGGATCTGCACCTTGTTACTTTACCTCTCCCAAAACAGTAGCTTTAAAGCACAGTTTTATTTCGCATTGATCTGATATTTCTACCTTTCCTAAAGTAGTAAAATTTAGGTGCTTGATTGATTAATATATTATCTGGTTGGTAGTAATGATTACACTGTTATTACAACTACCTTCTTATCAGGGAACTTGCAATTCTAGAAGCATCTGTGTGCTCACTCTTCTTTATCTCTCAAGGTGAGATAATTATGTGCAGAATACCTAGGAATTTTGAGAACACATGATTCTTACCTATGAATTTTTTTATCTTTCTTTGATCTCTATGATGTAGACACTGTGTAATGTATTTAGTTCATAATTTAGAGTTAACCCAAATTGGTAAAAAAAAAAAAGAGTTTGAAGATAAGCTTAGATATCAAGTCTGCTTTGGTAATTGAGGTATATTTACAGACCTGTTGATTAACTTAGAATATTTCCTACTTTTGTCCTTACATGGAAAATATCCTTTAGTCTTCTGTTTGCCTCTAAAGTGTTTTATTCTTTGATATTGGACTTTTCAATTTTATATTCACTTAATCACTTAATCAGTTTTAGGGGTAAGACCCCATATGAATGAATTAAGTGAAATTAATGACCTAATGACTTAGAATTCTGTTTTTTTTTTTTTTAACTTGAGTTGCCCCATTTATTTCTGTCTGTTATACTGTTTTGAAAGTACCCTTAGCTGCAGTGATAGATATAATAAATTAATTTCCCCTTTTATTTCTCATCTACATTTGGAAAGGATTTAAAGAATGTAAATAATAGGACTTAACAATTCCAAGGATGGATGTTGTGGTGCAATAGTTAAGCTGCTGCTTGGTAAACAGGTATCTGGGTTTGAGTCTCAACTATGCTTCTGATCTAGTTGCCTTCTGATGGGAAGGCACTGTGGGAGGCATCAGGTAATAGGTCATGTTCTTGGGTCCATTATGGGAAACCAAAATGGTGTTTCCGGCTCCTGGCATTGACCTAGCTATACAGTGGCTGCTGGGGCCTTTGAACTAGTAGATGGAAGAGGTATCTTCCATTCCTCGCTCTCTGTATCTCCCTCTCTCCCTTTCAAAAATAAATAAATCCTATAAAAATAACTCTTTAAAAATTCCAAGAGACTTTCCTAGAACCTTCATTCTTCTTAATTGGATTAAGACTTTTAAGCTCTTTATGCATACGTGAACATTCTTGCATAACATCTGGGAGGTAATGCAAAATATTTTTTAAAAGAAATAACAGCTATCCAAACAATCTTTTCTTATTTCTTTATTCTCTTCTTAATTCTTTACTAAGAAAACTCTGCATATTTTATGAAAAAAAGAATTAAAACACAGTAAGTTAAACATCAAGTACTCAGTACAGATTTACATAGACCTGGTACTTTGAAAAGGGCATTATCAGGGTAGTGTCTTTCTTACAGAGCGATGGCATCTTTGTTATGAATCTAAAATGAGCTTCAATTGCCTCCCACTCCAAATTTTAAGTGTAGAGGCACCCAATTCACATTTTTTTTGGGGTATTAGTGTTTCATAAACAGTTACTAGACATTACAATAGCTTCTAATGTATTCAGTTACATGATTCATAACATTCAACATACAGTGAGTTTCCAGTAAATATTTCTGACAAAATGTCTGGGTTGACTGCATAAACCAAAATTTTCAAAATACTCACTATATATAGTCCTATACTGGGGCACTTTATGTCTGATTCCAGGGTCTCATATTGACTTTCCTCTTACATGTCTTCCAAAGTTTGCATACTGACCAGCTTTGTGATGTTGTCTGTCTTTGTGACATCATTTTGCAATTAATATTAGTTTCCATAATCTGATAATGGGACCTAGATGTATTCAGTATGAAATGCAGGAATGAATGAATATTGCCTTTGGAAAACAGGAAGATTTGTTGGTGATTCCAACACAGCTCCTTCAAAGGCTGTTCTGATGTAGTTTAAGACCACAATTTTAAATCGATCTCCCTCAAAGGGGCAGTATAGTGAGGGTTGAAAACCACTCCTCACACATTTTACTTATTTCAGTGCAACCACAAGTAGTTTTCTTTTTTTCATATCACTTTGTTGTTATTGTTTACGCACCTGGAGGATACTTGGCAATGGGTCCACACACACAAAACAAGAAACCATCAAATTCCATGGCATAGTCATAATCTAGGAAAGGCAATCACTGTGACATGAATTACTCCCCTGGTATTATTCTGCCTTTTCCTGAAATGCACATGTTCACATGCGCTAATAGATTTGCCTCAAGCTTTTAGGGGAAGCGTTTCTACTTGACTGTCTCCAGGGAGAAATGCAGAAAAGCCTAAGATAGTGTCTGCAGGAAACATGCTCAATTCACTCAGCTGTGATTTACACTATTCAGGGTGCATATTAACTTACATGTTCAAGTCATTGCCCTTGAATGTGTTGCTGTGCATGTGTGTCCACATGTGTGTACCCATTTGGGAAATAAACAACACCAAATTTATTCCAATTGACAAACAGAAATGCTCATGATATACAACATGCTTTGATATATGTATACCTTGTGGAATGGCTAAATCAAATAGATTAGGATATATATTACATGGCATATTTAATTTTCTGCAATGTGAAGACTTAAAAGAGAAACTCTTGAAAAGTTTCAAGTTTACATATGCTGCTATTAATGGCAGTCATCATGATGTGTCATACATATTTTTGAACTTATTCCTCCTATCTTACCAAAATTTTGTGTCTTTTGACCAACACCATTCTAAGCTCCCCCGACCCCAGTAGCTGGTAACTATCATCTACTCTTTGTTTCTGATACAGAACAATCCCCAAAACTAGTTCTGGGAGTTGCTGTAAATCCCCCCAAACTGGGTCTGCTCACCCAACATACAGAAAGCCAATCACTGATGTTGCAATGGTAGAAAAAGGGAGGTATTTATTACAGAGCACAGAGCAAGGAATTAGAGTTATTGCTTAATTCCTGGTCTCCCCAAGTGGCTAAAAGTAAAGGTTCTTATAGATTTGGTCTAGGATTAAGAGGTATATGTACAACTCATGTTCAAGCTCCTGATTTGTCGGCAGTGCTTGTTACCATCTTTGATTTGTCAGGGAATTCATGTCTTTTAAGACATTTTGATGATGACAAAGTTAATTGAAGTCTTTTTATGGGGCCCAAATAGGTGCTAGTTACTTTCTGCCCTTGGCCATTCCTGAAATGGAGCCTCTTGAGACAAGACTGAGCATCAAGATGTTATCTATTGAAGAAACAAACTACCTCTTGAGTCTGGTGATTGAAACCTTGTAGAGTCATTTGCACCACTCCCCCAACTTCAGGAACTGATGTTAGGTAATGGTTGATTTGCTATCAAAAGGTAGGTCAAGACACTTTAAGATAATGGAGGGAGGTAGGGAGACATAGGAGACCAGGATCTAATTAGTATCTGCCTTTAAGGCACTGTATAGGGTATTGGTTTCACTTCCATGAATCTGACTTTTTAAGATTTTAGGCATAAGTGAAATCATACAGTATTTATTTCTCTGTGTCTAGCTTATTTCACATAACATAATGTCCTCTAAGTGCATGTCACAAATGACAGGTTTCTTTGTGTTTTAAGGTTGAATAGAATCCCTTTGCTTATCTCTCTCTTCCTCTCTCTCTCTTTCTATATATAAAAATTTCTTTATTCATTCACTCATTGAATACACACTGGTTAGACCAATATTTCTGCTATAGTGAATCATGCTGTAATAATCATAAGAGTGAAGTTCCACTTGAAATACTGAATTTATAGTCTGTGGATTTATATCCATAAGTAGGGTTGCTGGATTATGGAGTAGCTCAATTTCTAAATTTCATGAATCTCCATACTTCTTTCCATAATGCCTGTGCTAATTTTCATTCCCATCAGAACCATGCAGTTTTATTTTTAAATGTTTACTTCCTTGCCAATGCTCATCTTTTGTCTTTTTGATAATAGCTATACTTTTTAAAATTTATTTATTTGACAGATAGAGTTATAGACAGTGAGAGAGAAAGACAAAGAGAAAGGTCTTCCCTCCGTTGGTTCACTCCCAAAATGGCTGCGATGGCCAGAACTATGCCAATCTGAAGCCAGGAGCCAGATGCTTCTTCCTGGTCTCCCATGCAGGTGCAGGGGCCCAAGCACTTGGGCCATCCTCCACTGCCATCCCGGGCTACAGCAGAGAGCTGAACTGGAAGAGGAGCAACTGGGACTAGAACCAGCACCCAAATTGGATGCTGACGCCGCAGGAGGAGGATTAACCAAGTGAGCCACTGCGTGGGCCCGATAATAGCTATACTAACAGGTGTGAGGTGATAACTCAATTGTAGATTTAATTTGTATTTCCAAGACAATCAGTGATGTTGATTTTCAAAAAAAAAAAAAAAACAAAAAACAAAACAAACAAACAAAAAACACAAAAACTGTTTACCATTTGTGTGTCTTCCAATGAGAAAAAAAAATTCTATCAGTTTGTTGTTGTTTTTTTTTTTTTTTTTTTTTGCTCAATTAAGGGCTATTTGTTTTCTTACTATTGGGTTGTTGAGTACCTTGTATTTTTTGAATATTATCCTCTTATCAGACATATTGTTTGTAAATATATGTACTCATTCTTCATTGCATTTTTTGTTTATTCTGCTATACTGAAGACTTTCAGTTTGATGGAATTTCATTTGTCTACTTTTGCCTTTGTAACCGTGCTTTTGGGGTCACATCCAAAAAAATGATTGTCCAGACCAATGTCATGCAGTGTTCTGCGTGTGTTCTCTTCTGATATTTCACATGTTAGGTTTAAAGCTCTTGATTTGATTTTTTTGTACATGCTAGGAGATAAAAATTTGATTTCTTCCTTCCATATGAGAATGTCCAGTTTTTCCAGCATCCTTTATTGAAGAGTTTCTTCTTTTCCAGTGAGGATCTTTGTCAAAATCAATTGACATAAACACATATATTTTTTTCTGGTCTCTCCATTCAGTCCCATTGTTATATGTGCTTTCTTTTATGTCAGCACCATGGTGTTTTGATTTGTATAGCTTCACAATAGAGTTTGAAGCCAGGTAGTATGATTCTTTTACCTTTGTTCTTTTTGCTGAAGATGGCTTGGATATTCAGGCTTTTTTGTGGCTTTACAATGATTCTAGGATTGTTATTTTTATTTCTATTAATAATGTCATTGGGATTTTGATAGGAATTGCATGGGCTGTTTAGATGACTTTGGGTAGTTTAAGGACTTTAACAGTATTAATTATCCCTGTCATAATAATAATATTTTCCATTAATTTATATCTTCTTCAATTTCATTTATCAATATGTTATAGTTTTAGGTATACAGATATTTCACTTCTTTGCATAGTTATTTAATTTAAATGTTTTCATTTTTGTAGCTATTGTAAATAAAATTATAATCTTGATTTCCTTTTCAAATAGTTCTTGTTAGTCTAGAAAATTGCTACTAAATGTATCCTGAAATTTTACTGAATTTGTTTATCAATTTTAACAATTTTTTTTGTTGGAGTCTTCAGCATTTTCTGCATATAAAATCATGTTGCCTGTAAATAGCTATAATTACTTTCTTTCCTTTTTATTTATTTGAAAGGCAGAGTTACAGAGAGATAGTATCAGAGATCATAGTGCCTTATACATTGTATACTGACAGGGACAGGAAAAATAAAGCTAAAATGTATATCATAATTTTCTTAAGAGATGTTAGAATCAGATAAATATTCAGATGTGAAGCAAAATCCACAGATGTGAAGCAAAACCTGCAATAGAGTGCAAAGTATTCATAAATGAAGAAACAATCACCTATGTTTTTTGATAGAGAGTTTATGGTTGTTGGTATTTTAATTTTGATTTTCTGATTGCATGGATTGGAGTTCATATTTACCATCGATTGTCATAAAATAAGCATGGTATAATGAGTGGGACAATGCTTGTTAGAAAATGTACAGTGCACAATTGTGGGGAGCAACTCGGACTAGACTAAGTTACTGGAATTAAGACTTATTCTATGTATCTGCTCTCCCACAATATGGTGCTGGGAGAGGAGTAAACAACTTCTACACAGCTGCCTCTCGCCAATTTGATTGACAAGTTGCAGGAGCTGATCCTGCTCGGCGTGTGGGTAGCAGAGTTGGGATTGGTGGAAGAGGACTATAAAGGAGGAGAGAGACAACATGCACCAAGAACATCCGGATAACATCTGAACAGCCCCCGAGAGAGCCGGCCGGCGGTGTGCAGCTCCCCCGCAGAAGTGGGGATAGTGGCAGGGGGAACCGCCCCTCCACGGAGGTGGAGGGGTTGCCAGCCAACCCAGGAAGGACCAGCAGCAAACCCGGGAAGGGCCGAGCAGACAAAAGAACAACACAGGGTTTAGTGTCATTCCTCCACGAAGAGGGGGAGCAACACACAATGGTAAGTTAGTATGGTTCTTTTTGTAGCATTTATTTATATATGTATATTTATTTATTTATGAAACTGTGGGAAAAAATTGGGAGACAGAAAGAAATATCCCATCCTTTGGTTTACTCCCAAATGCCTATACTAGACAGAGTTAAGCTAGGCTAAATCTGTGAGTTGGAAACTCAAGCCAGGTCTCCCAGATATAAGTGGCAAGGAATGAGTTACTTGTACTATAATTAAAGATTTGTATTAGCATGAACTTGAACCATTAAAGGTATGTATTAGCATGAATTTGAGCCCAGATACCTCAACATGGAATGTGGACATGCCAGACAGCT